AAGCATACACACACAAAACATGAGAATAAAAAGGGAAAAAGTACGGTACAAGAAAATCCAATTTCGGAAGAGAATAAAGGTGGATTTGCATGTTTCATCTTACGAAATGATTCTTAAACACAAATAAGCATCTACAAGAATGAAATTAATAAGAAAAAAAAGGAAAAAAAAGGGTTGAAAGAATATTTGAAAGGTGTAAAATCATATATTCGTAATTATTATTGGACACGCGAGACTATAATGTTTGATCCACCAAAGTAATAAAATAAAGGGGAACATAATCAAAACCTACCAAAAAGTTTTTCTTGACAATACTGATAATAAAATGTTAAAAATCATTTTTTTTTTTTTCCCTGTTCTTTTGAATTTTTTTTCATTCTAATAATAGAACGATCGTTTATCCAACAACAGTACTACTTCCATTTGTTGCCACAACATTTGTCTGATTTGGAGAATGTGGATGAGATGATGGCCATACATTTACATTAATATTATGGGGTAAAGCAGGACGTGTTCTGGTCTTTAAAAGTTCACATAAATCATCATATACACGATCAGTATCTTCTTCATTACTAGAATAACCAGGTCTTCCAGAATTATTATTATAAGAACCACGGATGTTACGATCAGCAGAAGAAGAAGGTGGAGAGGGACTGGAATGAGAATTAGTACTTCGATAATCAGGTCTAAAATAAGGATCAACGGAGGAATCGGTATTTGGACCCGGAGGTAAAATCAGACCAGACCCTCTCTGTGAAGATTCATTAAGACCGGAAGCAGAACGATTTGTTGTAGAACTTCCCGAAGAAGAAGAACTAGGAGAAAAAGGATAAGAACCAGGACGGTCGTCATTCATATTATACATAGAATTTGAAGAACTTTCTTTACGACCATCTTTATGCCTAAGCCAAGGTTCTTCACCAAGACCTTGAGATTCATCATCTCTTGCAGAACTTCCATAATGCGAATAAGTAGAATTTGAACTAGCCGAATTATTATTCCCACCAAAAGATTGACGCCCTTCATCATCACTTAACTCTTCGCCTTTATATTTAGCGAGTTCACTACGTAAATTTCGAATGATTTGAGCCATTTCTTGTTTTTCTTTAAGTAAAGCATCGAATTGCTTTTTTATATTATCTAAACTTTTTGCTTTTTGCTCCAAATCTTTGATATACCTATCCTTACGTTGACGAAAAGCACGTTGAGCAGCTCTATTTTGGGCAGCACGTTTAGAATTAGTCAAGGTCCGACTTTGATTTCTACCCGTAGGCATATTAGAGACATTTGAAGAGATATCAACATGTTGGACAGGTTGATTCTGAGGAGGAGGAAGAGCAGGAACACCAGTAGGAGGCTGTTGAACACCAAAGGAAGAAAGAGAAGAAATATTTGGAACATCCATCATTGTTTGGCGTTGTTTAGTTTTATCATCTAGTACATGCACTGGTTGTTCCATAATGAATAAAAAAAAAAGAGGGAAAAAGAAAGTGTGTAAATAAGTGTAAGTTTATGTAAGTTTAAATGAAGATGTATAAAAAAATAGAGATAAAATAATAGAGATAAAATAATAGAGATAAAATAATGATGAAAAATAATGATGACAAGTGATGACAAGTAATGATGGCAAGTAATGATGGCAAGTAATGATGACAAGTGATGATGACAAGTAATGATGACAAGTGATGATGACAAGTAATAATGAATAGTGGCAAAAAGAAAAGTATACACAAGAAGAGATAAACGAATTAAAAAAAGGTAGACAAATAGAATAGTTCAGAATGATAAATAAATAAATAACAATTGTTTGGCCTCAAAGAGATGAAACTTTTTACGGTCAAGATGGACACTTCATCACATCGATCATACCAAAGTTGGATTGTTTTTAAAAATTCATATTTTTCTTACTGATTATGATACATGCAAGATTTTTTTTTGCATAAAAATCAGATGCAAGTAGAAAAGCCACAACAATTACATATAAAGAAAAACCAAACAGCTGACCCCAAAAAAATAGGAAATGTGATTAAAAAAAAAAAAAAAATAAAAAAAATAAAACAAAATAATAATAATATCATAACG